TCTGAGTGAGGCGCTCCATCAAATGAGCAATTCCTGTTCGGAACAAACGGTCTTTGGTCAAAGGAATTGGTGGTTAATGGAAGTAAGGTAATTTTTGAATAACTTGAAAATGAAAAAGAGCTAATATCTTCAGATAATTCAGCGAGACCCAACATGACATGAATCCAGCTTGATTGCCTTTAAGCTGAGTGGCAAATTATACGCTGTTCATATTTGAAGCTTCATAATATCAACTTCTGCCCAGGATCAGGAAATATGAAGTGGTGAGTTGTACCATGAGGTAAAGTTTCAGAAAATCTTATCTCAGCACGAATTATCATGTGCATTCATTCTATATTATTAACTTTTTAGTACTTCCCTATGATACCTTATAAAAAAACGTTTTTATATAGAATTCGACTTTTTCTAAGCCAGCGCCTTTTATCACCTTCTTGAAAACGTTCTCATGCATCAATAGTTTCATGGAAGCATCAAAAACATACTCGTTTAGGAACAAGCTAAGGTTTTAGCGCTTTATGGATTATTTGCTCTTTTGTGCAGTCATATGACATTCACTATCATCGTTTTCGGATTTGACGATATTGAGAAATCGTGAACCAACAGTTGATAAGCTGAACGTCAGAGCCGAATAAGGTGAAAATCTATTATTTGAAGGTGACATTTACCAAAATTGATAGTTCCTAAAACTAAAACACTCAGTTTGTGCAAAGCAATAATTCATGCCGCAAATGAAACATCGTTATGAGTTCCGAAAGCTTCATTTAACACGAAGCATTTTCCAGGATCTTACTGTCTCTCTTTGCCTACTGTCAAAAAATTCTTTTTAAGGACCAATCAACTCTATGGCAGTCCTCAAAGGTGCTTCCTCTGCAATTTTCAGTTATACAGTACCAAAATAAGTATTTGTCTGTCCGCGGCTAATCCGAAGAAGATGTCGAGGCGGATGCTGAACGGATGCCAAGAATGAAATGTGGAATGACTATCGCTGGTGACACCGCTGGCGTTCAACTGTTTTCTCCAGGAGAGCGATTGGCAATGCCGTTCGATCCGGTTATCCCTCTTGTGGTAACAGCCCAGAGATCGAAAGAAAAAGCATCTTGTCAACTTATTTTGTAGCTGAATTTCTTCTTGATCCACCTGACGATCGAGTGTTCAATATGACGATGAACAAATGAAATGAAACTTAGTTGATCTGCCTCTGCATCGAAAGATGAAACCTAAATTTGATTTGTTTAAAGAATGTCCATGCAAAGAAATTAATCATTTTTTAATTAAAATTCTCACACACGTTAACAGGTTCAAGTTATCCTACAAGAACAATTGTACTATATTATAATCAGTTCTTAGAACACAGCGATATCAATACGGCAGGACAATATATAGTTTGCATCAAGGATATTAAAGCTAACATGCTTATCGTATGCACAAGTCAGATGAAGTTGGCATCAAGCCGTTACTTGTAAGCATTCCTCTGGCTCAAACGAATGAAATTTCCTTCATCGCCCAAATTTCGCTTTCGACAAAGCCCACTGTTTGGTAGCTGATCAGAAAATGCCAATTGTTTTCCATGTACACGATCAATTACTAGGCAACTTAGTCAAAAGCAAAATAACGGCTCTAACGAGTGACAGCTGCAAGGACTTCAAGGCGTTATTCGGCTCTACTATACTGGGACTGATTGTATCTAAATATGAAAGTTTCCTAAATTCAACAAAGTACGGAGAAAATTCACTAAGCCGTGAGTCTGACTAAATCTGCAAACAATTCGCATGTTACAATCTCACTAGATGACTAATTCTGCTAAATTCTTTTTTAAAGGTGATAGGCTGATAATTTTCATGTTTTTTATTACTTCCAAGTTAGTTTCAAACAAATTTGCCGTTGTTGTGAACAACAGGAACGGATGGGTCACGAATGATGCGCGTCTATCGACTGGCTTTTATGTTACTGTTTGTGACTGGCATTACTGGGAAAGATAAACCCTTTATTCTCTGAAACCACTGATCTTAGCTTATGATACTTCAGCACTAAAGTCTCGTTATTTATCGCACTATGTAATTGGATTATAATCCTTGATTATCATTTCGATATATTCTCGGTATACGGTGGATTAGCTAATAATATTGCTCGTTCAGAAAGAGTAATTCGCATAATTGCTGTTATTTAGTTTCTGAAGTGACATGTGTGCCTAAGATAGATTTTAGGAAATAGACTGTAAATTGCTAATCACTTTGGGCTGCTCTAGGTTTAATGTTTTAATTTATACTTTCACTTCAATGTGTGTGTTCTTGTGTCATAGCGATTAGTGTACCACAGCTTATTGACCTGCTCGTTAGTCGTTTTTTAACCATTCGATTTTAATTTCCCCACCCTGACATGACCGGTAGTCCGAATACTTGGCGAAACACGAATCGCAGGAATAAGCGCCTCTTCTACACAAACTGTATATGTAGAGGCCCCATATATGTTAATATGGGGCCTCTCTGATAGCCCTCCTTCGACTTCACCAGAAGGCACAATTCAGAGAAGCGTCTCTTGTAAGATGGAAGCGATTGGCTCAGGTATCTCCTAACATTTTAAGATTTATACCATCGTTCGAAGTTTAGTGAATTAAATGCATCGGCTAAAACTGAGATAAGGAAGTTCAGTGCCGGAGTGTCATCGCCAGTCTTTTTCGTTCCATTGCTGAATAAAGACTAATACGTCCGCCTCGTTGCAAAAGGGGCAAGTTATTGCCATTTAGACATGGTACCCACTCCCCTTCTCCCAGCTCAAGGTCCGTCGCCTTCTGATTGCCATAAGGGTACAACGCGTTCGAGTGATCCAGTTGTGACAGTAACGTTGATGTTGGTTGGTACCTCCCTCAGATAGGGTATTTTTTCATATATGCCAGAAACGGAATGTGACCGTATTTGGTAATGTCATCACTATAAGCTCCAATTTGTGAAGGCAGCCGCCATAATGATGCCGATGCTTTATCGATGATGATGATGATGGTTTATGCAGAGCGCAAAGATTGCTATAATTCGATAATTTCAGACGAGATGGTGCTTTCTTGTCGTTTTTATGCTGAGAAATATCCGGAGGTAGAGGATACCGTCATGGTAACGGTGAGGTCGATTGCAGAAATGGGCGCCTATGTCAGCCTTTTGGAGTACAACGATATCGGTGAGTGACATTTTGCCTTTAACGCATTCATGTTATGATTGTTCGAATATCATTTTCCACTCAAAAAAGAAGTTGTTTGTGATATTTATTTCATACTATCCGGTTCATGTGCATTTTATAAAATGTTTTGCATAAGCCACTTGCTTATTTTATTTTCTTTCTGTACCCGCCCAACTTAAAATAGGTCTATGTCGACAGATCATTGGTTCCTACGCACGCGCGAACCTGCATATTTCCATCGTCAGTACGTGTCATGTTGTAAAGCCTTTTGATGTTACATTTAAAGACAAATGCAAAGTGGAAATATAGAGAAGTTGTAGCCAAATCTTGTGGACAGGTCGTTATTGCCGAAATATTTTGATGAGCCACTCTTATCCAGCGGCATCAGAGTTAATATCATATGTTTCTGATGTATAGAACACTTGGACTTAAACCCCATTAGTGGAATTTGTGTGAGTGGCGGATGACTAGCACCGAGTTTATTGACAAGAATGGAATTTTAGTCTATTGAATCATTCAGCATTGGTGTTGCAGCCTTACAAATTATAGATGACTGAATTTTATTTAAAAAATGGTCTGAGGAGATGTTTTTACAGCAGTAATAACAAAACAGAAAGACTTATTCAGGAAGGGGACTTTCTGCTCGCCTTACGTGACTGTCGTAAAAGATTGGATGTCGTAAAAGGTATAAGAAATTCTGACGCTTTTTACGACCATTTGCCATTATTTCTGTCATGTGTAATGTTCCATATGCTTCCAAGCGAATGCAGCCATGGCACAGTCCTTGCGCCAGGCTTGACTTGCAGTTTATTGATTAAGTGCCGACCAGCTCCATTTTTGTCACTTCGTCTTTGATGCTATCCAGCCGTGAAGTTGTGTATCTCCCTCTTGGCGTTTTTCAGCATCAGTTCGACATCCTCTCAGTCATAATCACAGCCAGTGTTAAGCAGCCATTTGTACATTTGTCGCAATCTATGGCCGAACTCGAAACTTCGGTTTCATTATGTCGTCAGAGAGAGTTGCCACTAATGCCTATTCGATGTGTGCTAACATTCTTCAGTAATTCAGCATTTGTGACCTTATGAGTGCTGTAGTCTGTAGCCAACTCTTCAGCATCGGTAAGAGCGCTTATCGCCATAATACCTCAGCGAGTTGGTTTCCTTCGTGCTGCGACATACATTAGTACTGGTCTGGTCAAATAGCTGTCACATGCACTCGCACTTTCACTGAAGTACTGATACTGGCAATTCGAACCTTACAATGCAGACTAGCATCAATACCGAAAGCACCTGCCAGAGACAAGTGACATTGCTTTCGCTGTTGTCGTAAGCAACGCGTGAAATCTATCCTACATTCTCTTTGAATCAAGTTAGAAATTAGGTACATACGTACATGCATGCATACATGCGTACGTATATCGTTTCGCTTTAGCGGTATGTTACCGGGTAGTAGTGCAACAATAGGACCTCTCGTCTAGCAGCTGAAATCACGCTTGGCATAACTTTTTATACAATTAGCCAGAAATCACACATTCACAATTATTTAGCTTTATGCTCTCCAAGTATGAGGTAAGTACGCATGGCCAGAATGTTTTCAAGGGCTTGAGGAAATACTGGCCAAATAATTGACATATACCATCATTTGAACATGCGTCAACGTGAAGATCGCTGGAAAGGGAAAGAAAGTGAAAAGTTCATTGGTAGGTATGGTATTGGAGAACGAAGCGTATGAGGAGTAAAACGTGATTTTGGCCGAGATGGAGAAATGTTCTTTGGCAACATGTGGTTCAAGAAGAAGACCTGTAGAAAATAAACATGGGTTGCACCAAATGCGGAAATCAAGAACAAAATTCGCCAGATACTGCTTGAGAAGCGTCGTTTTGTGTAGCACATGTTTGTAGTACCGTCGTTCAACACCGGGAGTAACCTACGCAGGGAGGTACTCTCTTTCAACGAACGACTCAGATGGCAGATCGCAGAAATCATCGATAGAGTTTGACGGAACAATGCTGAAGATAATTTTCTCCACTGAAGACTGAAGCCTGAATGAAGTCTTCGATGAGAACTACAAGAACTTTGTCGATAAACTAAGGGGTACTTGAGGACAACTGAGCTGGGACGACCAATGAAAGTGAAGCAAGGAATTTGAGAGACAATTATGAAGGATTGCTAGAGGCACGAAGAAAGTCAGTAATGACAAAAGAGAGTACTCCGTTTTTTCTTCTCTGCAAGCTCAAAAAATGAATGGTTGAAAGAGGTCTTGAAGAAATTTTGTAAGGAGGAACCATTTAAGACGGCTGATGATTATCGTATACTCTAATAAAACAGAGGAGACAGTTGGCTAATTGAGAAGAACAGTGATAACAAAACAGTATCAGAAAAGACGGACATGGAAGTGATCGGTTGAATTTTACATTCAACATCCTTGCTTCAAAATTACGCATCTCACCGCTAACAGTTCAGCCGTCGGTATATAGTACACTTTCTCTGTTTGTAACCGAGGTTTGACATCTAACTTATCAAATGGGAGAATAAATGAGTTCAGCAGGAGATAGGCTGACAGTTAAAATGACGAAAACAAGCGGTCCGAAACTATGGATAGTCGATACTTGGAAATAGAGAAGGTTTCCTTGTGATGGAAAGGATGAACTACGATTATGATATGCTTAAAGGGCTATCAGGAAAATCTAGAGCAGTTTCACAAAATATCCCTGCTGTTACATATCCATATCTATCAGCTGTTTACATATGCATCTTGCAAATCAACTGTCAGGGTGTCGGGATGAACAGCAGCCAGGGAAGCAGGTTTGATTTCGAAACAACCTTAGCACAATCGACTATAGTTTTATTGTGAACCAATTACTGGAAAGGCCAAAGAGTATAGACTGTCCCATATGCATTTCCTTCGTGGATTACGAAAAGATGTTTGACCCGGTTGAGCTCATCGCGGTGTGGATAGCACTAGCAGAGGAGGGATTCAATGCGCGCCACATCAACCAGTTGAACGGAGCGGAATCTGGATGCATGACGGAAATCGTGCTACTTGACACCCATTCTGATCCCAATCCTGAAAGTTGTCAAGTAAGGAAACCAATTCTCCAATGGTTTTCTCGGCCTCTCTGGAAATGATATTCAGGCTGATAAATTGGAAAGGAGGCAAGATATTTAACGGAGCGCGGCTCACTCGTCTCGTTGAAGGCTGATTGCGGAAAGTACCACCGAAGGCAAAAAAATGCTGCTAAGTTCGACAGAAAAAGCTACAAAAACTAGTCGATCAAATACAAAGTAACGGGGAAGCCTGCAGAAAGTTGAAGTAACGGCTAATGAAGAAAACATTTCAGAGACGGGAAGGGACATCTGTTTGTTCAAGGAAGTTGTAAGCGATGCGATTAGGAGGTGGAAATCTGGGTCTGAAAGAAACAAGGGCTGGTGGTCGTTCAGCTACCCCAAAGAAGCCATTTTGAGAAGGATCGACAGATCCACGCAGGCCAGTCTGTTCAATACAGTCGTTTGCCTAGCCATGCAGTATCGGTTGGAAACATGGTGGGTGACGGAAGGAGAGCACTGTCATCGGTCTGCTCAGCGGATTCAGCATTGGAAAGAAAAATGCTGGCCATTTCGCTGCGCGATCTTATCCCAAACCAAGCAGCAAACGGGAGTAGAAGTTGTCATGGTGGAAAGCGAAATGCGAGGGGAAGGACAACTTTACTGGGTTTATTGACCACTGGTAGTCAATCGGCAGCCACCACCGATTGGTACCTGTGAATCGCCGAAGGTCGCTGGATAGATTTGAGGATTTAATCTGTGGATTACAATGATCGTTTCTGTGTCATCGACACTGAGTGCCTTACTTGAACGGCACAGTCTGCAGCCATTGCGTGGCACGTATTCTCGTATTTCCTTCACACATATTGATGCTCATTTATCAACCTCGGAAGGAAAAATGGCGAGTGTCCCCCACCAGGTCTTGAATTCGGGGTCCATCGGTTTTCTGTTCGACGCTCTATCGACTTCGGCCTGAAGCAGTGTGTGGTAAATTACTTGCTGGAGGGAATTCGTAAATATGACAGAGATAGCCCTCCGGCGGAATCGAACCATCACCGACGGAGTTCAGCGCAGACCTCATAGACAGCTGTGCCGACACGCCGCTAAACTGAACTTAAGGCAGATCGGATGAAGAAATGCAAATTAATCGAGTGTCCTTGTCACTGTAACTTGGCTGCACTTAATGTGATGTTGACAAGCGGCATCATTTTGTAGGCAAGCAGTTTCAGTACGTAAAGGCCAAGAAACAGGTTCGTTGGTGCGTCATTAAGACATAAAGTGTAATTCGAATTATTACATTCTTCTGTTATGATTCTCGGTATGCAAAGATAGTCCAACAAAGGATATGAACACTAATTCGTAAAGCGACCATTTTCCGATCCTCACCTGTCATCTGACAACTCAAATCATACACATTATCAAGAATGGTCAGAGTTTAACATTGAAATAGCTGTTACCGATTATCACGTGGTAAAAAACAGTTACTTTGAAGCTGCAGGTTGAACGACTGATCTAAACTGAACGTGATGTGAACAGCAACTGATTCGCATACTTCTTCTAGCGCGAGCGCGACGTGCAGCGTCTGCTAATTTGAAACTTAAGGTTAAGAAAATAAATGTTGTGTTTTTATTCTGTTGCTGTTATATTTTTTAATTCTCTTGTTTGATTAGAGGGAATGATACTTCTCAGCGAACTCTCCAGGCGGCGTATTCGTTCCGTTAACAAGTTGATCCGAGTAGGCCGCAACGAATGTGTGGTGGTGATCAGGGTGGATGAGGATAAAGGTAAATGAATTTGGAATTTTGAACACGTTTCCGATTCTGAGGCCAGAACATAATCAATGAACGAACTAGTTTCGTGATGGATGGTTGGGAAATTGAAACGTGAAACAAAGATGGAAATGTTTCACTCAACAGTCGACTCGTTTTATAAGTAGAATCAGTAGCAGTGTCTGGACTGTACTGGACTTTTGTCGTTGATGAGTGAAGTTAAATAATATTTTGCACTAGGTGAGAGCTATTAAATCTGAACGTTCTCCATATGTCTTTTAATTATTCTAGTCGCTATACACATTTAGGCTACATTGATTTGTCGAAGCGAAGAGTATACACGAAAGATCTGATCGAATGCGAAGAACGATTTTCCAAAGCGAAAGCGGTGAACAGCATCCTTCGTCACGTCGCTGATCAACTTGGCTACGACTCTGATCGTCAGCTGGAAGATTTATACGAAAGAACTGCATGGTACTTCGATAAAAAATTCAACAAGAAAGCTGCATCCTACGACCAGTTCAAGAAAGCAGTCTCGTACGTTTTTTTCGGAACTCATGCTATCGTATTCTTTGCTGTTTTTTAAGCTATCGATAAGAGTTGATGAAATTAACCTTTCTTTGTTTACAGGTTTCTACGGTTTTGTATTATAAAGACATGTTTCTGGGCTCTCCCTGCCACAGATATCTTTTGTACATTGAAAGCTATGACAGGCAGATTAGAGCTGTTTAACAAAAATCATTGCGCCTAAATTCAGCGCTCCGGTCCGTAAGTTTCTTAGATGTTAGATTCGGTGGAAATCATCCCTGAAACCGTCGTGCCACTTAATTTGACGAAACAGTGCAGATTTGTACTTTCGGAGAAGTACTGTTCCTTTGGCAACGCTATATCGTTTTCTTACGGCGGATATATTCTTCTTGCTTATTGCAACAGCATTTGTATGTCCAGGTATAACTTCGATAGCTAGACGACGAAGAGACGGTCTCCTGCGCGTGTAGCGCTGCAGTTCCTCTCTCGAAGTTGTTTACTTCCCACTGGCTGACGATGTGCTCCACTGTCTGATCTTGCGCGGGTTTCTGCTTGTACCGTCACTTCGGCAGATGCTATCGTCCGTCCTGGCGTGAATCTTGAGCGGATTCGGTTCAAAGTTGTCCATTGTTTTGAGTCCAAGCGGAAGTCTGGAGGTTCTCTGATCAGCCGTCAATTTCATATTTATTTCGAGTTCTTTCAGGCTTTGCTCCGTGCGTCGTTGACGCCGTCAAGGTCGTGGGCAATTCACCAGAATGGTTTTCCTCGTTTCGAGTTAGTGTGCTTCACTTAGTGATGGATTAATGAGTTTTGTTGATCTGAATTTTGCGCTGCTCGCGTATGCAACTTTACGCTTTCTGATCCCGGGTGGACAGAAGATGTTCGACAATACCGAAAATCAGGGTAAAGAAATGTTATGAAACGATCCTGTGATCAACTTCAAGACGTTGTTAAAAATTACATCGACAGTCCATGACTGACTGCTAAAAAGTGACCGGTTGAGCAGTACTTGATGTGGATGTTCGCAATTTGCTGACAACGATTCCTTGCTGGTTCTGGCATGATTTACTCCTGAAACATAAGACTAGATCTAATGTTATTCAAAGCATTTCGAATGGGCCTCGTTTCTCATTGGTCTCGTTAGTCATCACTCCCAGCAGAAATAAAGGCAGCCTATGAGTAGGTTTCGGCGGTTAAGACAGGAACGTTAGCATTTGTAATAGCTTTCCATTGTCTTCATATTGGCGGTTAGAATGCGGTTTACCTCTTCGAGACTTCTTCCTCGAAATACCCGTTCTGTGTCTTCCGCGTGTTCG